CGGTGCCATCATGGCACCGGATACCGGTACCCATCCCTAATAATAAGTCCACATGAAGCTGTGCATGTAACCACGGCTCTTTGCTTCTCAAACAAATATGAACCTGAAGCAGAAGACGTGTCTTCTGTCTCTCATGTGAGGAGTCTTCAGCGTCCTTGCTTCTCACAGATGTGTGGAGACAATAACACAAATATACACATTCTTCTGGTGTGCTGCTGACACAGTGATATGATAACCTGTGTGCAGACTTTGAGACACACACACGGCTTTGTAATGGAGTTAAGTTTTATGACAGCACTCAAAATTTTGCCAACCCAGCGTTATGATTTGCGGCAAAACTCCCCTTTACTCCTCCTCCTCCATCTACTCTGTGAGCTCGTTCACTCGCCTTCACATCCAGTCATCTCTCGGCTTTTTATCAGCCTTTGTTGCCACTCCCGGCCCCGTATTTCTTTCATCCTATTCATCCCACCACCATGCTCTTCATATTGAGTTTTCTTTCACTTTTAGCATCTCTGTTTTCCTCCTCGCCCACCTCTATTCGCCCCTCCATGTCTGCTTTCCTTTTCAAATATTTTACTTTCATCATCTTTTATTTTTTTCTTCCTGTGTTCTCTTTCTCCTGTCCTCCACTTTCCCCCTAAAACATCTTACATGTTTTGTAAATATTTTATTTTACTAATATCTTCGTTCTATATCAGCCATGAGCAAAAACGACCCCCTATTATTTTTCATGCCCTTTGCAAAGTTTCCCTTCTCTCCTCTGTTTGACTCTGGCTCTTTTTATATCGCTTTTCTTCCTGTTTAACCTACGAAAATGTGCTGACACCTTTTGCCTTTTTTCCTGGGAAAGACGACACGTTCAGGCCGTTTAAACACGCGTTAGTTTGATTTAATATTAAAGAATTTCGGTGTTACTACTGCGCCAGGTGAAAGCACTTCTCTTAATCTTAAGTTTCACTCAGGAGGATGTTACATTATGGAGCTCATTATTCAGCAAAGCCATCTCGTATAAACAGCAGGTACTTTCTCTCTCACTGTGATCGCTCCCCACCCTGCTGTTTTCCATAGGACTTCATTACTTTTTAAAAAAAACCCTATAACACAGAGTTGATGTCCTCAGACCGCTCAATCTGTCCTCAAACTGTTGCAAAAAAGCACGATAAACACACACCAGTGACAAATTCACATAAATGTGTGTAAACAGAAAATTATCTGCCATATTGTGCTGCTTTGTTGCTTAGCAACTGACTTAAGCTGATTTTAAAGTGGTAGATGGCTTAGCGGTGGAATATGGAGGAAGACGAGAAAACATTTCTAAGTTCTTGATTTCTCCTTTTAAAGGTGCACTAAGCAGCACTTTCTCTGTATTAAAACCATTTTTTATTGTCAGTGTCTGAAAGGGGCTGGGGTCTTCCCCGACTCTCTTGTCGCCTCTAAAGGGGCGTTTCTGGGTGAAAAAACTGCTCGCAGTCTGAAGAGGGTGGATCCTCAGTTAAGCGATTGGAGTGACTACTAATTAGACAGCACTGATAGTCACTCCATTATTGATATGACACGGTGGTAAATGCATTAGAGGCCAGAGCCTGCCATGTACACTTCACCAACCATCAG